ATAATATATAATAGTATTTAGTTTACATAAAAATTTGACAACTTTATAAGATGATAATGTAATTACTACTAATTACTGTACAGTACAGTATACTAATTACGATCCAAAATGATTTTCAACCGACTTTAAAAAAAGAGATTCCAAATCCGATTGTATTTTTTATGGTTATTACCTTATAACTCCGTCAGTTGTAAACCGATATTAATTTTTTTTTTTTTAATTTAAAAGGACATACTTACAGATTGGTCTTACAGAAATTTTATGAAAATCGTTGAGCAGTTTTAGTTTTAAATCAAAATAACTGGTTTTGCCAAAATTTATGTCTTTTTTTGTAGCGTAATATTATTTTTGTGATAATATTTTCGTATTTACTTATTATATTATATTAACGAATAAGGCTACACTATAAATAATGTTACTAGATATTATTAGTGGTATTAGTCAGTACTGACTAAACCGTGAATCAAACCGTCTTAGTGTTCCAGATGAGTGTTCCAACAGATTCAGCCGGTAACTGTAATACATATTCCAGTAATAGTACTTACCAGTTTAGTAAAATAAGATGTTGCTTTACAAAAAGGAAGCATCTTTAGATGTATGAAGTTTCATTTCACTCGTATTTGTTCAATATGGGTATAAACCTTTGTTTGTAAAAAGAATTATTAAAATAGATTTAGAATTAAGTAAAGATATCAAGTAACATATACGCAATAGGGGTATTTTTTGTGCATATATTATTCGATGTCATTTTTTTATGCAATTTAGAATGGCAAACAAGCTGACGGCCCACCTGATGGTAAGTGGTAACCGTCGCCTATAGACATGAGCATTACCGTGGGCATAACAGAGTATACTGTTTCGCCCATGATACTCCCCATGCATTGCCATTCCTTAGGATTCAGGTGTTATTCCCCTGTACTCTGTAAATTGACTGCTATATCTCACTCTTCAAACCAAAACACAGCTATGCAAACACAACATACCTACGTCTGATATGAAGACAACCTTGATGGAGTAGTGGTTTATTACATCGCCTCGTGTGCCGATGATTGCGAGTTCAATCCCCGTATAGTAAAAACCATTTGTATTTTGGAGTACATATTTTTTTATTGGTCTGGGTGTTTTTCTATGTATAATGTGTATTTATAAAAAAAAATTATATCTGTCAACTGGTAATGACTATCCATAGTATAAGCTTTGCTTAGTTAATATTAGATGGCTTTATATACATAATGTGATCATATTCACTTGTCTATTAGAAAATTCTAGATTTACAACCCAATAACATCACACTGTATTTCCATTTAAACTATTTTACCATAGACAAGGAAACTAAATACATATCGGCAAAACGTCATTGGATGCATAGAAATACGTATTTCATTTATGATTAAAATACATAAGGAAAATGTACCTAAATACTATCTAAATAACGTACTGCACGAATAATTGTTTATTCTGAGGTTTTTTGTCTTACAATTTAAGTTCGGAGTAAATTCATATTAATATTATAGGTAATTAGAATAGACTTACTACTCGTCGGTCTAGATGTGTCGCTTCCACGCCTTAACTGCTAAATCGATTTAGATGCAAATTGCTAGAGCTAATGTAATTTGAGGTCCAAACATAGACCAACGGTGACGTCATACTTTTGACGCCAACGATATCGTACATAGTAATGACAATGAATTCTTACCATATAAAATCCGTAACAATAAATAAATATATATTTTTTCTATATCATAATTATTCACATCTATGGAAATGTGTGTGTTCGATAGTATATGTGTGTGAATGTTCCATAGTAGACGGTTTTGGCCTGTATTTTTTGTATATTTGTTATAGCATGTCGTTACCATACTTAACATTAGAAACATACATAAATGATTTTACTTCTGTGTTAGTCGTGATAACTTTTAACTAAATTGAATTCGAATAAAATCGAAATTTCGACGATTAGACATCAAACGGAAGTTACTTTACTACCATTACTTATATAATATATATAATAACTTTTCCTTTAAATTTAATATTAATGGATACTCTGTTTGAGTCATAGATTGTTATTTGCACTTCTATTACAGTTAATTGTTTGATATAGTAATATTTATATATTTATGTTTGTATGTATTAATTATATGTATATATTAATTAATTAATTTAATATATTATATGTATGTTTATATTAGTTAAATTATATGTTTCTTCTATATGAATATATCAAGTATTATTTTATTTTTCACCGTCTACTTATTTCTCTGTTTGCCCAATGGTTGACTGGTAGAGAACACCGTCCGGTGTTAAGTCAGCTAAATGTACATATACTTTTACTGTGCATTAAAGTTTAAATAAATAAATATATACAACATTGCAAAATATTTTCATAAATTATTCGTTACAAACATTTAAACAGGTAAAATTTCGTATTAAATCACAAAACCTGTTGATGTCTAATTGATCGTTCAGACTACACTATAAATATGTAAATAATTTAAATAATGATTTAATATTTCGATAAATATGTAAAATAAATTAGTATAGCCAATATAAATTAGGCATTATCATGAAAAACCAAAATGTAACGTTTTTCCTCAACAAGTACACGTATTTATTGCTATGGTTAATAAGCATGATAGAGGAAAACGTTAGGAAACAGGTTATGTATTTACTTTTACTATATTACCTTCTATAAACCTATTTAAACTATGTAGTTTTGTCACTTCCTTTCAAATTAGGAATGTAGTATAAAAGAAAGAGACAAAACAGTCCACTAGCTAAGATAGGTTTATGAAAGATCTGACGTTTTTATGAATAACAGGATATTTATTTATTAATTCTGTATTTTTACAAACAATATTATATGTATTATAAATGAAATAAGTAAAAAATATGAATACACACGACTATAATCCTAACAAGGTAGACAGAGATCAACATTTTTACTACCTATAGAACGTTTAACAATATGATTCCAAGAGGAGGTAATTTTTTATCGTCTTTTAATAAATAGAGTTAAAAATGGAGAATATATATGAATATAAATGATAAAAAAATAAAACAATGAAATTCTATATAAAATTAATGTAATAAAAGACTATTAATAAAAATTAAGCTTTTATTAAAGTTATTATAGTATATGCATTCGAAATTGTAGGCATAGCTAGTTATCGTTACCATTATTATGTCAGTCGCTAACTTTCCGTTAACTAATTAGTTACATATAAAAATACTAGGACTTCAATAGTGGTAACAACTTTAATATAAACAATTAAATAAACCAGTTGTGTTGTAATTTCCTTGTAGGTGTATGGTGCTATCAGGCACTATGTACGCACTTGTCACTCAGGAGAAAGTATGATTTCGAACTATAAAGAAATGTCATTGGTAATCGGTCACTTTCTTCCTTCGTTGAATATAATGATGCTTTAATTATACTAACAAAATATATTGATCGATTAATTATTAAAACAAAATTTACTTATTTAAAGCTTTTTATATTCAGACCATATTTCTGGTGGAAAGTTACATTTACAAATATTATTGAGATCCGATTTGGTATGGTAATTCTATAGGATTGCACAGTGTAGGGATGGGTAATATAGATAATGTAAATAATAATATTACAGAATATACTGTGACACCCTTATAAGTTATGTGTTACCATTAACGAGGACTAGTGTTTTGCCTTCATACCCTGTAATTTCACTCTCATATCCGATGCTTTAAACTGAAACACAGCCATAGAAACATATCTGATTCAAAACAGAAACTCGAGTGAGATTTATATAGACGACCTATGTGCAGTCTCCCTAAAAATTCACAAACATTATCTATAGAGTTTATATAGGTAAGGCTGTATACAGAATAGAGAATTTCTTATTAATATTTTTTCAATAAATAAGTTTGAAAACCTAATATAAATAAACATTCTTCACTGCTGTCTCATACAAATCTTTGCGTCACGAAACATACAATTAAACTCATAATAGTTACCAAATAATGTAACCACCATATTGACCTCAACTATTTACATAAACATACGGGCCGGCCTTTCATAACCAATCATGATTCATACACGTGATTGCAACGTGTCCCCAATATAATGTGAACTTGACACCTTACCTTGACTGAGCAACCCACTAACGTCCCATTATTGGGGGAAGAGGATTATTAGTAACAGGGGCTAATAGCCCAATGCTAGAAATATACCGTATTAGGTCGATTCCCACGCAGTTCCCCCTGGAAACCATCGTGGTTAATTCTTGTGGAATTCTTCACGATAGGTTAACTGTCCTATTTTAGTTTTCACCTATTATTTTTCAGACTAGATTATTATTCCATTTTCATCCATTTAAAAACGCACCACAGTTGGGCACAGCTTACTATCACCTCGTTTATTGAAATAAGGTTTTATTTCAAAATTTCTTCTCTTGTACTGATTGATATATTGTATATTGTCGTAGTCGCCTCTGACATCATAAGAAATAGTAATGACAGATTGTATTTTTTTTTACATCACAACGTAATGCTCGTTACTAAACTAGACAACTGCTAAGAGTAGCTCAACTAATGAGGGTATAAAGAGTAGAAACGGTATGAGTTCAAATCCTACGCGCTTTGGAAATTTACATCTATAATATTTGAGTTTGGAGCATGATTTCATATTTTGATATTTGTTTAAAGATTATTAGACTACACACCAATCTAAAAATCTGTTATTCAAACCTTACTGTCGTAAATTTGAAAGTGAGTTTGTTTGTTACCTCTTAACAGCGTAACGGCTCAAGCAATCGGCATCAAATTTAGTATCATGTTTGATAAAAAGTAGCTCATGCCATATTACTTATATATTTGACTTGGGCTACTTTGTATCCCGGTCAATCAATATTTCTCGGTCACGTGAATGAAGTCGCGGGCGTCGCAAGTGTTATACATGTTTATGTAAGCAGGTGTGAAAGCTACTTCATATTTATTTAGAAGATATAGAATAATAAACAATCTATTTGAATTTGGAATTTATTTAGATTTAATTATTAACTGTAACATTAAAATTGACATTCATTTTTCTAATTAATTCTGATTCGTATTGTTTTCTTCTTCTTCAGTACACATATCAATTCGCTCTTTCGCGACGAGAGTTTGAATCTCAACTTGTAATTCTAAAGCTTTATCTAAGGGCAACCTTCTAAGTCGTTCCGCCATTTTGTTAGCGAATATTTGTATTTCGTCAACCTTTTCTATTTTTACTTCAGACATTGGGACGCTACACTGTTTTACCTGCTTCTTTTGTATTGGGGTACGTTTATACTGCTTTATTTGTTGTGGTTTATACACAGCAGCAGGGGGGGATGGTATTTCCTCAGGTTCCTCTTTACTCTCTTTTTTTAACTCATCTAGAAATTCTTGCTTGATTGACACTATGTACGCGTCCTTATCTTCGTCAATGTATTCTATACTGACCCCGTCGCTTTCTGAACCAGATTCCTCTTCATATTCCTAAAAAAAAAAGTAAGTACATTCATTCATATTCAGTAAATTGAAGTGGTAATACTCGAATATCACTATATATCGGTTATAAAAACTGAGAAATAATAGAGAAGAAAGGTTTTTAAGTTTCGACTTTGACAAACAAACGGACAAAGGGGTCCGCCCCGAGGCCCCCACCTAAATCCTCCTAGGAGGGTTAAGACCTGTCATGTCATATCAAGACAAATAAACATTGTAGAACAACCCCCCTGTTAGATGGAGCGATGACCTCAAATGTTGTAAGGAGTCAATGAATGCGTGAATGCGTATGAGCAAGACCCGTATTCAGTAATAGATAATTAACAGCTGAAATAATAAAAATAAATATTACATTTCAATAATAAAATTTCAATTAAATTTATAACTTACTACTTTATGCACTAGTTGCATAATTTCTTGAAATTTTGTAAACCAAACCATCAAAGGTGTATATTTACGACCTTCTAATTTATATTTATTTACTTTTCTAAGCTCATGATAGTAGCATGACCTCAAATTCTTTATTTTCGTCTTGATATCGTTTACTGTTAATTCAGTGTTTTCCATTTTTCTTAATATCGACTCATATGCACAGTTTCTTGCAAACGTGGATTTGTACAATTTATTACGCGAATCCCAAAGGTATGGGAAAGATTTATATAATTCTATAAGTTGGATAGTGTCATGTTCTGTCCAACGAGACATTGTTGACAATTATTAAAGGTCAAAATTATCGCGAAAAGCAAGCGACTGCTTGCTCAGAGTAGCATGCTTTTACTGGCTGACTCCTACGTTGCCGTTCGGGGTCGTCTGTGGCTCTGTCTGTGGCGTGCGTCCCTAGCGCGTGTTAGAGTGAAATAGAAACATCACCTCCACGTTGTGGGAGAGAGAAATATTCTCAGCGGAGCGGCAACAATGCAGTGCTCGCAGACGCCCGCTAAAATGTGTAGTACAGAGTACAGGCAGCCGTATACTTGTAAACTATGCTACCTGTTTCGATTTCTATGTTAATATTCGTAAGGTTGAAACTTGTAAGGAACTAAAGTGAAATAAAATGAAATGTTGCACCTATGCTATTATTTGGTACACACAATCAAATAAATAGGATTACACAGAGATTAATTTATTAATTTATAAAAATTCACTTTAAATATTACTTTTATAAATAAAATAAATAAATAACCTACTGAACTCTGAACAATATCTTAATTATTTATACCTACCCCAAATATCGTACTTCCCTTCCAAGTAGCTAATATGGTGGGTACTTTATAACCCTGTTTTAAAATCGGTTGAAAACAAGTGGCATGGAATAAAAATGATCATAACGCAAAGAACTTTTTTAATTATTATTATTTAATTAGGTATTAATAGTTGGTGTATCGGTTGGTTATTTAAAAAAAAAATAAGACACCTTTAAGACGAAATACGTTGAGCTGCCATTTATATTGCAACAATAGATTTCAGTTCTTTTTCTAAAGATCAAGAAGCAAAGGAATCGAGCTTAAGAGGGTCGCATTCCCCGCCGTGGATATAGGTACCTATGTATTTCATGTTTTTATTGGGATCCCTGTTTAGAACAAACCAGGTACAGACCGGGGTGGAACGGTCAAATGAACATTTTAACGTTCAAATATATATTTTTTTTTTTTTTTTTTTTTTTTATGCAACTTAGAATGACAAACAAGCTGACGGCCCACCTGATGGAAAGTGGTAACCGTCGCCTATAGACATGAGCAGTACCATGGACATAGCAGACTATACTGTTTCACCCATGATACCCCCCATGCGTTGCCATTCCTGAGGACTCAGGTGTTATTCCTCTGTACCCAGTAAATTCACGCCATATCCCACCCTTCAAACCGAAACACAGTCATGCAAACACAACTGCTTCACAGTTGAAACACGAATGGGACAGAGGTGCCCAAGCAATCGACTTTTGTACAAAGTCTCCCTCTGGTAAAATACATGGTATATCCATACCTATCCCTAGGGTTTAAAATTTTAATAATATATGACTATATTACATTAAGTTGATATAAACATTAAAATAATGACTTTAAAAAATAATATGGCACTATCATTAAACCCTTTATACAAATAAACTGAGCTAAGATTGGTTCGCCACTTAACACGATTACGTGTAACAAACAAATAGGTTTGAAATAAGAACTTACCTACCAAATTCTTTCTAGAAATCGATTAAAAATAAAAATCTATTTTACGCCATTTCTTTAGTAGAAAACTATAAAATACTAATAAAGTATTGCTTTATATTAATGTGAAAAATAGATAGTGGGTAGTCGTAAATACTATTGCCACTAGGAACATAGAGTTACTAGAGAGATTTGTACAGATTCATCATGAACATCTATCACTTTATCATATCACATATCATCGAGTATCTTTGTCACACTTTATATTTTCGTCACCAAATAAGATTTTTACAGGACCCGTCCCACTCAGATTTAAAGGATGATTTATGACCAATTGACCATAAAATTACTAGACGGATACTCAATATGATTTTTTTTTTATATATAATAATGGAATGGTAACCTCGCCTGCGCTATCGGTACACGCTGGCAGGGAACCAGTGAGGGATAATAGGTGAAGATGAAGGCAGGTCAGTCGGTCCATCGTGAAGAATTCGACAAGAATTAACCACGATGGCTACTAGGGGGATCCACGTGGAGGTCAACCTGATATATTGCTATCAATAGGGCCGCTAGAACCCATTATTAACAATCCCTTTCCCCAACATGAATATGTTGTTCATTTTGAGCATATATTAGTATTGAATAGTCGCGTGTTGCAACCGTTCACGGGCTGTGTAGGCCTACCATGAAATTATTTCCGATATTTCGGGGACGAACGAAACAGAAATTTGATGTTAAAGTTATATAATACATGCCGTTTAAAATTATTAAAAATGTTATAATATCGTTCCTCTGGACTATTAGGATAGGATTTATGATGTACGAAATGTTAAGCTCCATTTACTGGCTCGATTTCGGTACGAACTTGAGCCCGAAAATTCGGAATTTCATTTCATGGTAGACCACGTGATAACCACTTACTAACCATCAAGCGGGCCGTATGCTTAATTGCCATTCTCATTATATAAAATAATATTAATTTTAAATACGTGACTCTTCTAGCTTAATAATAATTTGTTGGCAACAAATGTCTTTTTAATTCCATCTCATACGTTCACACAATGGTCTTATTAGTATATACTCAACTGACCACTTTGCCGGTGTTAGAGTCAAATTACCTTTTATTATTATCTCAAATTGTAAAGTAATAATAAATTATTTAATAGGTAATATATACCCAAAGTAATCATAATAATTTCTATTTTCGAAACATTCAAAGTGTTAAGTTTTATTAACAACTAGCGGCCCGTCCCGGCTTCGCACGGCTGGATATTTTTGCAACATTTTAAAAAGTGGTTATTGTGACATAACGATAACAGTTGGACATATAGTATTGTGAAGTTTTTTGTAGTTATTGATATTTTCTTCAATATTGTAGAACATACTTTTATTCTATCACCAATAGTTTCCGCAGCGCACGCGACGAAAGAAATTTTATAGCATTTTTTTACACCTTGAGATATGTTACTAAAGTTTTAGTAAGGATCCCTAATCTTTTCTAGCAATAAATATAGCCTATGTTACTTAGGGTGAATGTAGCTTTTTAAAAGTGAAAGAATTTTTGAAATCGGCAAAGTAGTTTTTGAGTTTATTCATTACAAACATACATACACACAAAAATACAAATCTTTCCTCTTTATAATATTAGTGTAGATTATAACATATTTATTTCGATAAAAAACATAAACCAACATGTATTACGAGAATAAACTTGTAAATATTCTTTTTTTTGTTGTAATATTATTATTTATATGGCTAAATAGATTTAATGAAATTTGGTATTTACATAGATTATATTCTTACGTATCATACACATATAAAACTTAATTTACATCGGAAAATAGCAAGATATAGCTAGTAATTAGTAGTTATGTAATAAGCTATAAATTAATAAATTATATAATATTGATTTATAATTTAAAAAGAAATTAACTCAAATTATGGTATTGGGATCTAAGATTGTAAATGGATACACCATTAACAATAATATATTCCAATACCGTATTTATTAAAATTCTTTTAGTTTTATTAATTACCACAGATACCGGATACTGGGAGATAACGGATTCTACGAAACGACTGCTAAAACATGCAAACAGTAAAGGCCTATGTACACAATGGACATTAAGTTATAAAATTTCCTTTATTCTTCATTATCGTTTTATTATTGTAGCATCCAATTAGGGACGTTATTATAACAAACAGATGTTGCTCACGCTGAGGATTTATCTTTAAAAGCCGAGAAATTTTAATCGCCTAGAAAATGCCACTCGTCTGCGCGGGCCATAAATTTCCTTCGCTAAATATTATTTATAGTTACTAAAGAGGAAATAATCGAGCTTGATAAAAGCTATAAATAAACCTTACCATTTACAAGCTTTCTCTGAAACGGTTCCAAACGGACCACTTGTATAAGCATAATGCCCAACTTAAGGCGAAAGCCATTTGCAAGAACGCATTGCTCAATCGGTTACAAAACCGGAATTTGGTGCCGTGATAATTCCTTTACCGCTGTCAGTCATAAATTGTCAATTAATAATGTCGAATGTTGTATTATAAATATAAATAACTAGCTATATCCTGCGGCTTTGCTCGCGTAAAACAGTATATAAAGTATGCTATGTGCTAAGTAAGGATATAATTTACTCGTATACTAAATTTCATTCAAATCCGTTTACTAGTTATTTCGTGAAAGAGTAACGAATATCCATCCATTTTTTCACCCATCGTTGTAAACTTTCGTATTGAATCTAGGTACCAGTAATATTGACGAACGTTCAATAGTTATCATATATTAATATGACTATAATATCTAAATATTTTGTATGGTTTCGGCATAGAATAGGCCACTCATTTCTTTTTCGTAGATATCGTAAGAGACGGCTAAAGGAACTTAATAGTTGAGGGGTGAGCAGCAGCGTCCCTTTTAAAACATCACCAAGAGCCTAACTGTGGTTACCACCCCTCCTGCTAAGCGTGGCAGCTACTGGCAAAACTTTCCTTATAGAGAAGGCCTATATTTTTTTTTATGGGTGAAAATGGTATGGTACCCCGCCAGCGCTGACGGAATACGCTGGCGGAGCACTAGTAAAGGGTGATAGATGAGAATGAAAACAGGCCAGTTAGCCCATCATGATAAATTCATCAGAAATTAATCATGATAGTTTCCAGGAAGAACCGCGTGGAGGTCGACCTGGTTGGATATATTGCTAGCAATGGGATTCTCAGTCTTCATTACTAACAATTCCTTTCTCCCTGGAGGCCTATATTTAGCAGTGGACAGTTAAACTGTGGTTAATGTTTTAGGATTTGTTGACAAAACAATTATAAATTTTAACTATTGCCATTCTATTAAGAAAATATTCTTACAGTGCAACTAAATTATTTTTCCATAGAAACATGAGAAACGACAAAGGAATGTGTACCTCTCATACTAACATTGGCTTTAATTTTTTTATTGTATCTTTATTATTATCTGTATCTGTCTATGTCAGTTACTATTTGTGTGCTGTAAGTAATGCTAATTTTATATCTATCTATCTAATGACTAATGAAATTTCTGTCTTAGTATGCTGTTCATTCATTTAGCATGAATAGATTCTTAGTTATATTAACTTTTACACTTATACGCGACATGTTTTACATTTTATAAGTG